CAGCCGCTCTCTCCACGTTCCCATGGCCATTTCCCCGTTTCCCCGGGGTTTTTTGGGAAGTGTCACGTGAAGTTTGTGACTCACAGGTTTTGGGATTTGCGGGACAGGAAGCACAAGGTCCCTTTAAGGTCCCTTTTTGTTTTGTGTCTCTTCAGTCACGCTGGGCTGGCGGAGCTCCAGGATTGAGCTCAACCTCGGAGCTGCTGCCAACGAGGCCGAAAAAGGGAATTTTTTCCCCGCTGGGTGAAAGGGCCGGGGCGGGAGGCACGTGAGGGATCAGCCTTTGGGGTCACGGGGGAACTTTTGGGGTTTCTGTGCAGRGAACRGGCTAAGAGGGTGGGAAAAAYAGAGRGAAAAGGGTTTGGAGCTAATTAGTGAGTTAATTATGGTTTTTTAGGAGATGTGGAATGAGGTTAGAGGAGTGCAAGGATTTTTTTTTCAATTCCCTGGGAAGGGTTGGGTGGGATTTGGGATGGAATTCCCTGGAAGTGTCCAAATATGGATAATGTGGGATAAAGGGAGTTGTTCCTGTCCTAAAACTGATCAGAACGATCCTAAAGGTCCCTTTAATCAAGGGAATTCCACAATCCCATAAATCCAATCCCACTGGTGGCAGAATGATCCTAAATGTCCCTCAAATCCCAGGAATTTCATAATGCCATAAATCCACCCAGGTTTGGAGATTCCCTCCAATCCCAACCATGGCAGAATGATCCCAAAAGTCCCTCAAATTCCAGGAATCGTAAAGGTCCCTCCAATCCCAGGAATTGTGGCAGAACGATCCTAAATGTCCCTCCAACCCAAGGAATTCCACGATCCCATAAATCCACCCAGGTTTGGAGATTCCCTCCAATCCCATCAGTGTCAGAACGATCCTAAATGTCCCTCAAATTCCAGGAATTCCACAATCCCATAAATCCACCCAGGTTTGGAAATTGCCTCCAATCCCACGGCAGCAGAACGATCCTAAAAGTCCCTCAAATTCCAGGAATCCTAAAGGTCTCTCCAATCC